AAAAATAGTAAAGAAAATAGTTTCTTTTTTTTTTTTCCTTTTTTTTTCCTTACTAGAAAACATAAGTTCAGGAAATTTTTAAAAATCTTAAAAAAACTTCAAATTTAAGCCAAAAAAAAGCCATAGAACAGCTGAATGAAACAAGAAACTCAAAGATTTTCTCAAAAAACTCAAAATTATGGAGCACTTAAGAACAGTCACAGTAAAAGAATGAGACTTAATCGAATGACAAGTAACACAAGAATGAATTTTAGTAGATGGTACAAGAGATGCTAGCTCTTTAGAGCAGTTCCCATTATTGTATTTATAGAAAAGAGAAACAAAACTTTATACTCTTGTCTTGACAAAAAATCTTCACTTTTTAATTGCTTAGAACAAGTAGCCGATGATAAATCTGATCTCTCTTCTGTAACAGCTAAGGCTTGCAGTGGCTTATGATTTAAATTCTGGACTTAAAATCTGCAATTTTCTGTTTGACAACAAAAGTCATTTATTTAATGCAAAAAAAATATTGCAATATGTTGGTATTCCTATATTGATGAATAACAACCCTCTTAGTCTCTGACAGTCTAAAAGCACATAGATAATGTAATTAGACAATATTTGTTAAGCTTGAGCCACTTTCTCATTGTTGTAAGGTTGCATTTCTTTCTTTTTCTACAAATACAATAATGGTCAATGCTAAAACGAGTTATCATTTCTATAAAGATAAACCAAAACTCGTTCTTGTGTGGCTTTTTATTTAATAAGTTGTATCCTTTTACTGTATATGTTCTTTCATGCTATAAAAACTTTTATTAATGCAGTTTTTTTCCTTGAACATCAAAAAAATCTTATAACTCTTACTCATCTTCATGTTTTTCTTTTTTATACATCCTACTTTTTTATACAACCAACTTTTCAAGTCTTTATTTAAGTCCTAGTATTTTAACTTATTCTCTATTTTAAAGTAACTCATAATTTAATAGTGGTTAAATAGTGGCAATCAATTAGAGTTTAAAAATTAGCAATACTTGATGAAAAGAAATCGAAGACTATACAAATTAGAAAATCTAAATAAAACAAGATAAAAAAATTTTATAATAAAAAAAGGAAATTGTTGTCAAAAAAATAATATACCTAAACATTTACTGATTTTGTTTTCTTATTTTTAGAAGGTTATTTTCCACTAACAAAATTGATAGAAGTTGAGAAAAAAAGTAGATGAGAATATAACGAAAAATAAAAATGTTTATTGGTATACAATCTTTTCGCAACTTTTTTCAGTCAGTATATAAAGGAAATACTTTATAAATTGCGCTAAAAATAAATTTTAAATCTGTTTTTCAAATGTTTTTGCTAAACTTTACCGTTTTTATAATTTTTAATATTAATTTTAAAATTAATTTTTTCTAGAAAAGATAAAATTATAAGCAATAACATTATTGTTCTTTAAATAAAGTACATGTGTATGCATTAAATTATGCATAAAAAGTATAGTTTTAGTGCAAAATAAAGAGTATATAATCATCAATCAAAATAATATCACCTGATATAGCTGGATTAGCTTCTCCAATAAGAAAAAAAATTTTTTTTTTGACCTCTCTCTTTCTTTATCTATGTTTTTTTTTTTCTTCAATGTTCATCATAAATCCAATCAGGCTAATTTTTTTCCAAAGTTAGTTTTAACACCACGTTTTAATATTAATATTTCAGTATTTAATAAATAGTAAATGCATAAAGTTATAATATATTAAGTATTTTTTTCTAGCCCCCGCTATCAACTCCTACTAAATCTTATAATTTTGCAGAGGCTTGGTTTGCAAATATTCTCATTTTTAGCTGAGACCATAGCCCCGCTCACTTACTATATGTATATATATGCATGTATGTGTATATGTATGTATATATATATGTATGTATATGTATGCATATATAAATTACTATTTGTATATATATGCATGTATGTGTATATGTATGTATAAATATACGTATGTATATGTATGTATATGTATGCATAATATAAATAGATTTATATATATATATATATATATATATATATATATATATATATATATATATATATATATATATATATATATGTATATATATAGTATTAGTATGTTTATCTGCGGCACATTTAAACGAGAGTTAAATAGTGCAGAGCACGCCAAAGTTAACGCTCTGTGACAGTTTTGCTGGTTAACTGTCCATTTTGTCAAGCAATATCTTGAATGACTTTACATCTTTGGCAATCATTATCTGCTCAGGGAGTTCATTCCATTTAGAGGCAATACGATTTGTAAAAGTTTTGTCTAGGCAATACAATTTGCAAAAGGTTTGTCTAGGATGATAATTTTTTATTATTTCTGTCCTAGTTGTGATCGAGTATATAATATATACATATACACATATGATAAATCAGAAAGTGTTATTGTGAAAATATATGTACAAATATTTATTTATAGTTTTTTTCTAACATTTTTATTTTTATGTTATCGCTGTAAGGTAAAATTACTTTCATAAGAAATAAAATGAATGGAAAGGAGAGGTTGAGCCCAGGAGTGTTTATGGCTTACCGTGTGCAGCTGGTGAAATTCAGGTTGGCATTTGATGCCGACGCAAAAGCCGATCTATTTTTGCTTTCTTTTAACATACAGCTGCCCACCTGAATCTCTAAAACTGTCAGCATGCAAAAATAGATTTATGCAAAAAATTTATAATTTGTTCAATGAGTTCATTTATTTTAATGTAATTAATTTTACTAGAAATTTGAGCACGATTATTATATTTTAAGTTCTCAAATCTAATATTAATTTATTTTATTAGATAAAACAGTTCATTTACTTGTTGCCAGCTATTTAATATTATTTAATATTTTGATGAAAGTTTAGTCATAGTATGATAAACACATGTGGAGGAGAAACACGTTATGATAAACACATGTGGAGGAGAAACATTATTTTAAATATATATTAGTTAAGAAACTAGTTAAACTTTTTTAAGTTTAGTAAAGCTTTTTTATTAAAAGCAATTAAAAATAAGAAAGGCTATAGCATTTCTTATTTTTAATAAAAAGTTGCTTTTAATAAAAAGCACAATACAAAACTCTAAACAAATCGTAATATGCCTAAAAGAAAAGTTATTTAAAAATAAGGGTTTAAATGTTGTGCCTTTTAAACTAATTTCAAAACTAATTTTTTTAAACAACTTGTTAACCAAGTTAAATTAATCATTTGTTTTGGTTTTCTCTTTTACTCATCTTTTTTCTTATTATGAAACCTATATTGAGTAGACTTAATCAATAAAATTGAGTTTGCTCTACAACAATCCACCACCACTCAGTGCCTTGTCTTTGCCATCTTAGATGCTCTTAATTTTATTCTTAAGTTTAAATTGAATTTATTTTTTTAGTACTATAAAGTTGTATTATATAAAATTATTATTCCTAGTTACATTATATATAATTACATTATTTTATTAAATTTAAATTATGTTATATATAGCTTGGTATTATATATTCCACTATAAAGTACTTTACCACGAATTGATTGAATAGTATGTTGTGCTTATTTTTTAGATTTCGAACATTTTATAATGAAACATTACCAATAATTCACTATTATGAAAACAAAGGTTTAGTTATGAACTTTAAAGCTGATTCATCACCAGATATAGTGAGCATATTTAATAGATTTAATTAGAAAAATTTATATATATATATATATATATATATATATATATATATATATATATATATATATATATATTGATAGTGCCAAAGCGCAGAATATCTAAAATACTCACAACAAAAACAAAATAAGTTAAGATTCAAATTTTTGAAAATTTTCGAATCATATCTCGAATCATATTTTTGATTCAATTCGATTCGAAATTTCAATGCTTCACAGGGCCCTAATATATATATATATATATATATATATATATATATATATCAGGCTTTTGCAGGAAGGCGTGCAATCGCACTTCTTTATATGACCGTACAAAAAATAATATGTTCTATGATTTCACCGCGGCTTTTGACATATTTGCAAAATTTAAAAATGCGCTACAAAAACTTATCTAAAAAAAAAATTTAAAGAAGAGAAAAAAATCTTAACAAAAGAGAAAAGAAAAGAATTAATTAGTTAAAGCAAAAACACAAAAAAATAAATACATATATTTAACCCAACTAAAACAAAACTCATCAAACTAAAATGCTTAGTCTATTTAATTTATTCATTAAAAAACCATTTCAATCTTTGTTTTAACATTTGTACTTTTTTTTTAATTATTTAATATGTTTTAAAACATTTCTCATAAAAAATTATATAAATAAAAAAAAACAACAGTTTATTAATACTTATTTTAAAAATTCATTAGAAGTGTTTTGTTACTTCGTTGAAAAGCGTTTTGATAATATAAAAGCATTTGAGATCAAACTTATTTCATTTTAACAGCTTTCTTAAACTTTTTTTTTTCAATGAAATTTGATTATTTTTTTAAATGTATTAAACTAATTATTCTTACATTAAAATTCGTTAAAGAGACTTATGTAGTTGTAGAATGTGATTGTTTATAAAAACAAAACAATTTTTTATTTTATAATAAGGTTTATTATAAAAATGCAGACTTAAACAATTTATATATTATAAATTAAAAAATATATACAACTGTCAATTATATATTTTTTTAAAAACCATTATCAGTAAATTGCTACTCTATTTAAAAGCATTTCGTTAATATAAAAACATTTGTTAAGAAGTTTTTGTGTAATTACTTTTTTAAGAATAATAATTCACTTTTTAAGAATATTTTTCATTTAGGGCTTTTTAAAAATGTTTTTTAAATTAGCCGCGGTTAAATCGTCATAGCAAAATGTAATTTGTATGGTCATATAAAGACGTGCGATCGCACACCATTATATGACATTTATATATCAAGCCTTCCCGGCAAGCGCATATGGTTGCATGCCTTGTTCGTTCATGTTCAATGTAATTTTTTTAGACAAACTGACCATGGCAGTTTGCATCTTTTAACTTGTAAAGCGTTTCAATAATTTGTGGCAAAAAACTAAACTTATCTACTAAGAAAAAAAAACAATCCTAAATAAAGGAAACAAAACTGTAACAAAATATCAAGTTTAAATAAATAAACTAGAGAATTTAATAATTAAAAATAGTAAATTGAAAAAAAAAAATTCTACAACTTTTGTATTCTTTTTTTTTAAAACTGTTGATGAAAACAATTGAGAGTTTTGATATGCAATTTATTCACGATTTTTTATCAGTCTATATAATTAAGAAACTAATTTGCTATGTAGGCTAAAACTTTAAGAAATTTTATTAGGTTTATCTGTTTTTACGACTTTTATGAATTTGGTAATGATAGAGTAAGGAAAGACAGAAAAAATTGTATATCAAAAAATATTTTTGTTTTCGTTATATTCTTATCTACTTTTTTCCTCAATTTGTATCATTTTTAGTAATGGAAAATAACAAATTTTCTTTTCTTCAAGTAAAGATGTTTTATTTGTTAGTTACTTTTAGCTTTATTTTGCTGCAAAGTCTTAAAACGTTTACTAAATATAAACGTGGTCAAGTTATCTAAAAAAAGTACTTTAAGCGTGGACAAACAACGCTTGCGGCGACACACGCTTTCCTGGAAAGCTTGATATAAATATATTATATTATTGTATTTATGTAATTCTTTTAAATATTGTTATTATTATTTAAATTATAAGGTTCTTAACATGTAACCATGCTAAGTGTGCTAAATGGACTGTTAGGTTTTATGTTGTCCCACACTAAATTTTGTTACCTCGCTAAGAAGATTCCTACATAGTATTTATAAAACCAATTTTTTTTTAATTACATCTAGCAAGGGGTATCAGTTAATTTGTTTTTTATAGGTACTCAGGCCCGTAAAGGGTAGGGTATTTAAAAAAGCAAATATAAATCTATATTTATTTTTAATATTTTGTAACTTGTTGCTTAAACAATTTTCTTTGCCATAGTTATTATATTCTAGAACTAACACCTAGTTATTATATTCTAGAACTAACACCTAGTTATTATATTCTAGAACTAACACATTAGTTTACATTTTGTTAATAGAATAGGAGAAATAAATATTAGGAGAAAAAATTAAATAAGCTATTTATTTTTCAATCATTCAACATTTTTAAGCAATACAATGTTAAAAGAAAAATAGATTTAAAAGTTTAAACATAATATATTAATAATTATGTTATAAATCCATAATATCCAAAAAATTTCATAAACTTATATATTATGGCTAAAATCTTTTCAATCAAAAACTGCACGCTGCTTTTTTTAACTGTTTTTTATGGTTAGGATGAAAAATATCTTTTTATAAAATTGCTCTTTTACTATTCATTGATTGTCAGATCCTAGGCGGACGAAAGTGATTTTTTTCTATATGAGACTCGTTGGGAGTTTTATCAATAATAATGGAAAAATAAATATCTGTGTGGACCTCTTCGATAATAGCAGCAAAAACAGTTTCACCACAGTCTCATTTTTGATAAACTTTTTGATTAAAAGGATTATTTACCCTAAACTATTTTGATGTTAAAAGTTGGGCATAACTGGTGTTATTTAATTAGTAAAATGGTATACTTACACTATTTACTAAATCCAAGAATTTGTGGAAATAATGCTTTTGGTCAAAGTTACTTAGTAATGGGGTAACTTTGTCAGAGTAAAATGTGTTTTAACATAGGACATAAAGTGTTATTATTTGCATTAAATACAATATAAATTTATAATTAGGGGTCAAAATAAGTCTTGAACATAGGAACCCCTTGGATTGTTCGAGGGGGCAACCAATTATTGTTTGTTTATACTGAAAAACAATAATTGATTTGTTGCCCTCTTCTAGCAGGGCTCAAGAATGGTCCAAAGGGTGATGATATTTGACGTCTATTTCGACTCCTTATAGTTAATATTTATTTCATAAGAAGAGCTTAAAATTTGTTAATGGACTTATGAAAGAAAATTAAAAGTGTTTCAAAAAATAAATGTAATATAAAATATAGATTCAAACATTTAGTCACATAAACTCAGTTTTTAGAAAGACAAAGAAAAAGCAGAAATTAATTCCAAAGACAAGCATCTCCTTAGTTTGTCATAAAGTCAACTTTGCTAAGTCTTTTAGATACCGTTTCTGTTTCACAGAAAAAGCTTTAGAAGAACTCAGAATGTTTTCACTTGGTAACTTGCTATACTCAGCATTAAGATTAAATGGCACCAAACCACATGCTTTAAACCACTTATTAAAATTTTCTTTGTCATTAATAGATGTCTTTAAAAAATTCAGAAATTTAGAGAAATTGTATTTTTTAATGGTGCAAATAATATATCAAGAGGCTGTAGCAAATGTGTTAAATTAGAAAGAAGATGTTATGTTTTTTACAAACATCAATAATTCTATAGCTCAAATGGGAGGAGAGGTTGTCACCAAAAATGTTTCCAAAAAATGGAGAAGTCTACTATATTCTTATGCTTATTCTCTTATTTATTTTTTGATTTTCACTTATTTTTTGGTGAAAAGCTTCATAAATCTTGAGACCCAATCATCATCATTAAGACCCAATCATCATCATTGAGACCCAATCGTCATCATTGAAATCCTATCATAAAATCTCTATAACATAGCCATGATTTTAGTTAAATATAATTGCTCCTTGTCATGAATGAATATGGTTGGTGAACCAATGCACTTTTTCTGCTTGGAATTTGTTTTATTATGGATACTACTTACTATGGATAGTACTGGGATATTAATCCTTTTTGAAGCTTGGCAAGTAAACATTTTTATGATATGCATCCATTCAGCCTGCACAGAGACTTTGTGGTGCCCAGGGTCAATTTCTGTTTAGTGCCCCAATTTTTAGATTCCTGGGTATATTGAATTAATCATGACTTTCACTGTTTATCGTCCGTATGTCTACTATCACATTACAGTTTAATGAAAACAGTAGTTATATTTTGTATTAACAGTCAATACCATTGATTAGAGATTTTATAAACTATGTCTAGTCATCAAAAGAAATGCCTTCTGATTGAAGGAGGCAGACATCATTGACACATAGGAGAACTTTGAACCAGAAAAAAAATCGAGACAATGAATTCAAATGATTGAATCCACTTTTTGAGTGCCTTAACTAAAGTCTTCTAAATTAAGTTCTTCAAGAAGTTTCAAGGACTTCAGTATTTCTTTTGGTCATTTTGACTGGACAGCTTCTATGCGCACACTTTATCTTGTTTGGGACGTTTGGTGAAGGGACTGCCCAGTTGCCTTAGTCAAAGTTTTACCTCGCATGGGGCTACTACTAAAAAGGTTAAACAACAATTATTGGATATTGCCAAAATAGTTCTTGACTACAGTAGAGGATTCTGCAGAATGAACACCAGTTAGATTGAGACTATGCGCACTGCAAGGCATGAACAAAGCTTGAGTATTTTCCTCGAGAATGATGGCCTGCATTCCTTTGTATACACCAGACATAAAAACTATTGGGCCCGGTTGTCATAGCCCTGGCCCCTATAGTTCTTTAAATCAATTTGGCTTTGATCTAAAATGTCTATAATCAGCTTTGTAATGTCAGAATCATTTTTTTTCCCTCCAGATTTTTTACCTTCAGAAAATGCTTTATTACTATCCAGTGATTGTCAGATCCTAGATGGACAAATTGAAGAATGAAATTGATTTGTTCCATAGGAGACACGTCCGGAGTTTCATCAACAATAATGGAAAAATAAATGTCTGTGTGGTCCTCTTCGATAATAGCTGCAAAAACAGTTTCACCACATGCCATGATGAACTCATTTTGAGTTCTCCAGCTCAAATAGTGTGCTTGCATGCTTGTTGCTTGTTTTTAGTGTCAAGAAACTTCTTCTTAATGGAACGGAAGTGTTCTTCTAATTGAAACTGAAGTGTTCTTCTTCTAAATGGAACTGAAGTGTGCTCAAGGATAGGTAAAAAATTAAAATTATCATACTCATCCAGCATGTTTGATAAACCTACACAAATATGAACATAGTGTTGAAATTAAATTTACTTTAATATTAATATTCCAAGCAACATTAAAATTATTTTATGACCTACACAACCTACACAATTATTTATGACCTTCATAACCTACACAAATATGAACATAATATTGAAATAAAATTTACTTCAACATTAATATTCCAAGCAACATTAAAATTATTTTATGATCATAAACTGCTCTAAGCACACCTCAAAAAATTAGATTTCTTGTAGCTAAATGGAGAGTGATGTCCAGGACACAGCGTAAAATTTATACCACTTAGATGCCCCATTTCTTATTGACTTTTTAAGTTCTGAATCGATCCTGGTTTGATTTTTCAAGTCTTCAAAGGCTTATTTCCAAACAATGTAGTGATTTCTGTGTTAAACATTACACTGTTTGCTTTTAATATTTTCTCCTATATTTTGCCAATTATATTTTATTTTGTGATTCCACATCAAGAGGAAAGACTGAAATCCAGGACCAAAATTTTACTTTTGTCCAAAAATAAACCAGGGAAAACAAACAAAAGCTTTTGCTTTCCTTTCTTATATGAATATAAGATTGTGAATAAAAAAAGCTGTTAACCTATACCTTGGCTACTTGGTCGGACATAAAGTTATTAGATGCTTTTTTCTAAACTTTATTGAAGCCACACTCTTTCAGTGTACGTTTGTTCTTATTCTTCAGCTTTTTTTCTGCCTTAGGACCCTGAATCATCCTTTCGAAAACTGGACATGACGTTTTGACTCTAAGATGTGTGTTTCTTATTTTTCAATAAAATAAAAAAATTTTCATTTGTTTCAAAATCGAAATTAATTTTTTATATATAATTTAATTCTCAGAATTTAATTGCTTGTTTGAAAGTTTGCCGTTTGATAAATATTCAATAAATACATACTACATATATGAATTTAGGTCGGAGTATGAAGAAGACATAAGCTGTCTTTTCACCAAGCCCCGTTTACATATTGTCTGTGTTATATAAAGGCAAATATATACATAATCGCTTTAAAATACATATAAATTTTGCAAAATGCTAAAAAAATTTCAAAAGATATACTATAGTATATTTCTACTGATTTATAATAAAAGTAATATAAACATACATATATATTAATGCATACACATTTTCTATATTAATATTTAATAAGGTATATTCATTTAATGGTAATAATAATGTTTTTTTTTTCTATTTTAAATTATTTAAAACAATAAATGTTTAAAGTCTGCTGTAATAAACTCTAATTGTAGTAAGAGCCTTTTAGATTCTGTTTTAAATTAGTCCACAGAGTAGTGCTCTTTATAGTTATTAAAAATTTTAATAATATAGTTTATTAAGGGTCGCATGTGCCCTCTTTGTGTGCCTAGGTAAACTGTACCTAGTGCCCCCTCCCTCTCTGAGTGGCCCTGCATTCATACATTCTTTCAAAAAAATGGTATTAAAATGAGTGATTCCAATGTTATGTTTATTTTATTTACAAGCCATTATACCTAAATCAAAAGTAAAAAATTTGCAATTTTTATTTGTAAAAATAAATGTATAATTTTTCTGAAAAATTGAAAAATCATTATTTATCATATTACTTTCCACATATTTATCACATCCACATATTTAACTTTAACACTATTTAACTTTAGCTTTAGAGATAATGAAAGTATATAATTTAAAAATATTTCTAAAAACAAAACAATTCAGTTTGAAAATTAATAAATTTTGGATATCATAAAATATCCTTATTTAGAAAGCATTTTTCAAAAAATAATCAGATATGACAATAATAAACAGGCTTCTTTATAATCAGTTTTAATTATGCGGTTACCACAAAAGATGACAAGGTAACTTTTACCAGCCTGTTAAAAAAATCAGAATGTTGTTACTTAAACCAAAAAAAGTTATGTAAATCTTATTTAAACATATTTTTTTTTTTTTTGAATAGGTAAACTATATTTAATATATAGAAAACTATGTTTTTTGTTATAATTTACCCAGACAATATTCTGTTTCTTATTTTTGGTTGTATTTTGCTTAAAGTTTTTTTTTTTTTCATATTAAAAAGCATTTGCAACAAGTTATAATTTAAGCAACAAGTTATAATTTAAGCAACAAGTTATAATTTAAGCAACAAGTTATAATTTAAGCAACAAGTTATAATTTAAGCAACAAGTTATAATTTAAGCAACAAGTTATAATTTAAGCAACAAGTTATAATTTAAGCAACAAGTTATAATTTAAGCAACAAGTTATAATTTAAGCAACAAGTTATAATTTAAGCAACAAGTTATAATTTAAGCAACAAGTTATAATTTAAGCAACAAGTTATAATTTAAGCAACAAGTTATAATTTAAGCAACAAGTTATAATTTAAGCAACAAGTTATAATTTAAGCAACAAGTTATAATTTAAGCAACAAGTTATAATTTAAGCAACAAGTTATAATTTAAGCAAGAATAATTGTATTTACAAATAAAGCAAAAAGCGCACAATTTTACTTATCTGTATAAAAGTTGTTTTTAAACTAAATTTTTTAAAAATGACTCAAAATACCCTATTGACTAAAGGTACATGGATTTACAGTATTTTACAACTATTTATATATTTTGTAAAAATTTGATAAAGTAAACAAAAAAATACTACTTAAAATAAAACATAAATACTCTTGTTATAAGTTAAACTTTCGGAAAGTCTTCCTGAAAATTAATAATGCATATTTTAAATACTTTTTAACAGATTTTCTTTGTATCATAAAAATAATTCTTAGAAACATCTGATTAGTGTTTATATTTGAGAAGTTCTGAAAATATTTTATCCAAGAAACAGGGATTATTATATTTGTTATTTAATTTTTTTTAATATTAAAAATTACAGAATGAAACTCATCTTATAATGTTAAAAGTATTGGCTCAAAAAAGATTTTAATTATCAATATCTTGAGACAAATGTAACTAAATTTAAAATTTTACTTTAAGCCTCAATTTTATAATTTGCCAAATATATTCAAATTTCAAATGTCCTACTAAAACCAGATCAGATATACAATCTTATTTATTATCTAAATAATCTATTATATTTTTAAACTCGTGTGTGTGTGTGTGTGTGTGTGTGTGTGTGTGTCTTTATATATATATATATATATATATATATATATATATATATATATATATATATATATATATATATATATATATATATATGTATTAAATATGTATTCGTGTATGTGTATTATTGAGAATAGTTTTATATTTTTATTAAGGTATTTGAAGATGTTAAGTGTTGCATGAACAAGCTGTTGTGAAATTTTTGGTTTGTTTAGTAGTTCGAGTTTTTAAATATTTTTTAACATTTAATTTTAAAGTTAAAATTGTAAACTTTTTATATTTATGTATTTGCTCTAAAAACCAGACTCGACTAAAACGAGATTAGTACTTTTAGATGCAATAGATTTAACTCATTATTTTTAAATGGCTTTTTATTATATAAACGTACATTACCTTGTACGAATTGTTCACATAAGGTTTTTTATATTGATTTTTATTTAAAGGAAACTTAATTGTATGTTTAAGGAGTATTTGTAACAATAAATTATTTGTTATGTGGAGAAATTGGCGGTGTCAAAATAACAATTTCTGGTTTTTAATTCATAAATTAACTGAATGAGGTAATTGTGCAGTAATATAGCACTTACCTCAAAGCTAGAGAAACGTATATTAAACCATGTTTAATCTACGTTTACGAGAAAATCTCACGTTTAAATTTAAATACATCAGGATTATCTTTTTTCAGATATTTCCGGAATTCCGGGTATTTTTTTTAATTTTTTAGTTTTTCCGGATATTCAAAACATTTTCAATAAATGCAAGTTAAGGTATATATTCATGTAATATATTTGTTTTTTAAGCTTTTTCACTCATCACTCATAGAAAAATTATGAAAAGTGTCACAAAAAAAAAAAACTTAGCTAAAAGCGAAATTAAAAAAAAATAAGGGAAAACATATTCCGGATATTTTATTCAAATAATTTTCAAGATTTTTGAAATACATAAATTTGTTAAGCTAATATTTTAAAATATTCTTTTTATTTTTAATTTTAAAATATTTATCAGGTTTTCAGAATATCCAGTATAATCCTAAAACCCGACAAATACAAAAAGAAAAATACTTTACTTTTTTAACTAAGTGTTTAATGGTTTCATAATAATGTTATAGATAGATAATGAGTTGAATAAAAAATCCTTTGTTCAACACCCAAGTGTCTTTTCCATCTCTGAATCGGCATATATTAGTTCTTTATTAAATTAGATTTAATGAAGAACTAATGTAAAACACCTTAAGTACTTGCCTGTTAGGGTGTGATAATCACATACATGCCGATAGTGATTGCGATACCGATATTTATCAAAAATCGTATCGCACTTGTTTTTACGATACCAATAAACTGAAAGTGTCATCTTGGATTGTCACACTGTTACGATGCATTTCGAAATTTTTGCGAGATAAAAGATTTACATTTTTATTTGATATTTGAAAACATGATAACTTATATTTTGTTGATAAATTTTTTATCATTTTACCATCACATTGGACCTAGTTCCAGTTGGTTTTATACTTTTTTTTCTTTGATGGAAACTTATATTAAAAAAGAATAACTTGCAAAACTATTCTACATTTTTTCAAAATTGATAATCAATTTCTAATAAACTCTGGGGAGGAGGAACTTAAAAGGTACCAACGGATATGGATGGTACCAACGGTATGGAGTACCAACGACTTTTCGACGTCAATGTTGAAGCGTATGAATCAATTAATTTTAAAAAGTTCTAAAACTTTGCTATGAGTACGCGACGTATGAGTTATCTTTATCTCCGCTTTTTGAAAAAATTGAGCTATTGATAGTGCTGTGTACCTCAGGATAATGTTTTCAACTGTATCCACACTTAAGTTATAAAAAAGTTACGGAGAAAACTTAAGTTGAAAAAAAGTTTATATTCCGTCTCCTAAAGTTTTTATTTAAATCGAAAAAATGTTGAGATAAAACAAAATCATTTTAATGTCGCGACATTAGAATGATTGTTTTATCTCCACATTTTGTTGTATGTCCACTTTTTGAAAAAATTGAGTTATTGGTTGTGTACGTCAGAATCAGCCCCGTCTTTACCCATGTCCAGCCTAGGCAGCCGAAAGAAAATTTAACTGCTGCCAAGCACTACTATACGGAAGGACGCGGAAAGTTGATGTCCTGACTCCGCTAGCGAAGGCCATTATTTTTATCAAAGTTTAAGTGTTTTATAACGTTCCTGTAACTTATTTTTTTAAGTTTTAACCATTATCATGGTGAACAAGTGCGGCGTTGTAAATTGTAAAGGAAATTATAATAAACTTAATAAGTGTCGTATTTTTAAATTACTGAAAGATGAAATTGAGAAACAAAAATGAATTAATGTTCTTCCTTTACGTAAAAATTTTATTATTAAGCCATCTAAACTTTTTATATGTGAAAAACATTGGCCTGAAAATACAAAAATTATTTAGCTGCCTGGTGCCTATACTCGACCAGCATAAGCACCTTGTATTTTTAATGTTCCTTTTTCTTGTTTACCAAAGCCCGTGCCTCGCCAATCTAAACCTGAGGACAAGCAATTGAATTATTTCATTAAAAAAAATAGAATAAATTTGTTTCTGATTTTCATCCTGACAATGAGTTGCACAAAAAGTATAAAAATATAGTAATATCTCGACAAGACAATAAATTCATATGCATTTTTATGTCAAAAGATTTCAAAGAGAGTTTTGTGACAATTGTTTATGTGTACATTGTTTAAGTGTACCTTGTGTCCACCGCTAACCTTTTCAGCTTTTAAACATGGAATTTCCGTTCCATTAGCTAATACATTTAATCCAAACAATGGCTTAATCCTCTATTCTCAATTTTTTTAAGCAATCAATTTAGTTCATAATTATAATCTAATGTTAATGATGTTAATGAAAAGGTGAAAAATACTTTTTCAGAAAATGAATTTGAATTAAATGATGATAAGAAACAAAAAAAAAGTTGAATTTTATTACAAGAAAACTCAAACTCTTGTCTAAAAAAAGTTTCTCTATAGCTGATTTGCAATCGAGTCTTTTTATAACTGCAACTACGATCAACTTCGTGATTTTTTAGTCCTTCTAAGTAAACGAAAGCTTTAGTCTATAATCTCTCCCACTAACATTGACCATGTTTTACAAAAAACATTTGAAAAAGTAAAGAATAATAAATAGAAAAATGTGATTTTGATAGTTGATGAGGTAAAATTAGGCCAGCAGTTGCTTATTCGTGTGGAGTTTTAAATGGGATCGCAAGAAACAATCCAGAATCCAAAGCAACCTCTATGCTATGTGTCATGATGAAATGCTTACATGGTGGACCTAGTTTAATAATTTCTGTTACCCCTGTTAACAAACTAACACCATTGTATCAGTTTATTGTTGTGAAAGAAGCTGCTATTATAGTTGAAAAACATGGTGCAATAGTTTTAGGATCTGTAACTGATAATCATAAAATCAATCAGCAATACAGCAAAATTTTTAACAGAATAACTGACTATCAGGCCATTCATCCAAAGACAATCAGCGTATTTGGTTTCTTTTATTTGACACAGTTCATCTACTTAAATGTATTCGCAATAACTAGATTTCTGAAAAGTGTTAAAAGCTATCTCTCGATAATAAAACCATAGCTTCATTTTCAGATGTGAAAAGTCTATATTAATACAAGAAAGAGAACATTTTGAAAACAGTTCCTTTATCCTATGCTGCTGTCTATCCTTCGAGACATCAACTACAGAATGTGCAGCATGTTTTAAGAGTGTTTAATGAGAAAGTAGTAGCTTCCCTTAAACTAAAAGGAGCTTATGAAACATCCTCTTTTATCCAGCAGATTTTAGATTGGTGGAATGTTGTTAATGTTTCTGCAAAAGGCCAAGATGTAAGGTTGAGAGATCACAACCAATCTGTGCAAGATAAAAATTCAAATAATCTTCAATTGTTTTTAGACATATTTAAATGTATGGAATCAGGACATGGGTCTAAACGAGTTTAGTGCGTTACTCATGATACCAAAAATTGTGCAAACTACAGAAGGATTGATAGCTGTCTGTTAATATTTGTTTTTGATTATGTTTTGCTTCGTGAGCTACAAAATAATAGAATAGAAGGAGAATTTTCTGTTTATAGACAATCAACAGGGGCAAATGCTTTTATGGCAGCTGGTGAGGTTTTCTCTGCTTTTAAAAAGCGTTTAGCTAGATTTGCTGTATCATTTTTAAAATCAGTGGAAGTAGGACAACCCAATAAAAAAGGTCACATATGTGAGGGTCCAATTAGTATTGAAGATGCAACCTCAATTGAAACATGCATTTATGATGTGAGTCTTTCTAAAACTGAAGAGAACTCTGCTGCTTATGTAGCATAATGGCTTGAGAAAAAATGCGAAGACAAACTAGTTTATAACAAATGAAGCTAAAGACTTTATTGAAAAAGTTTCAAGGGGATATTTGACAGTTCCACATGAGTGTACTTATCAGCTAGTTAGAATTGGTTAACTATTTGTGAAAAAAACAAAGCACAAAGCATGTTGTAGAAAAAGACTATAAACATTCTATCTATAATGGACACATATTATGATTTTGGTTTATCATCAAACAGTCATTTTAGGCGTTTGGCAAATGTTCTTCTGCATGGAATTTAGAATTTGGATAAAGACCAAGCAAAAAATGCATGTCTTTATCAGACATCAATTAAGAAATACTCAGCATTGCTGAGTCGTGAATTTTTCTTTTTAGATTTTTACATGACAAATATTGTATTGTTTATTTTTTTACGAAGTTATATTAAGTTCATTATGTTTAAAAAAAAAAGTTTTAACATTGTTAAAAAGTCTCTAGAGAATATGATGTTTATATGTTTATTTCTTTATAAATTAACTGTATCAATAATATTTTTTTTATAGAGGTTTTTAATATCGATCTTATAAGCTTTATAAAATAAGTTTTGATTTTGTTATTAACAATAACGTAAAATTATTTTAATCGTATTTCAGAATTTTGATTTTATAAAACGTTGTTTAAGCCAATTTTAGTTATTTAGGAGTTAAGTGAGAAACATTGAATGGCCTTCGCTAGCGGAGTCAGGAAGTCGACTTTGCACGTCCTTCCGTATAGTTGTTCTTGACTGCTGCATAATTTACACCAGACAAACTGTAACAATAAGCATGTAAATTTTCTTACATTGAGTCTAAAAATGTTTGCGTAAAAGGTTTCTATCAGCATTAAAATAAATATAATCTTTTCTCGATAATTTTTTTTTTAAGAAAAGTGATTCAATTAAGTATTCAATCAAATTAATAAAAAATCATCCGATCTTTCAGAATACAAAAAATAAGTTAGAAGTGTGAAGTAATCAATAAACAACATGGATGAGCC